ATTTCACATAGATAAGATGGATCATCTCTGGTCCTCAGACCACAGTTTGAGTAGCACCGTGTCACGAAGTTCGATCGGTCTCAGGCAAAGGGCGTTATTAAGTCAGACAGCGAGCGACTTTGTTTTAATTTCTTTTATGAATCGCACAAATTTTATTTCTTTTTCAATTAAACACGGAAATACCTGTAGCTTTTAACACCAAATGGTATACAAAAATGAATGAAATCGGAAGTAACGTAGTCGACAGAAAATTGCCAACCGGGATGTATTTAAAGAATGGATAACAATCTTTCTAGATATTTGGCTGGATTCTTAATGCTTAAATGTAACGAAAACGTTCGCTTAGTAAAAGTTTGATATCTAAAAAGGTTTGGTTATTCATTTTTTAGAAACGCGAGCTTAAAAACAAATCGTTAAACTTGGAAGTTTCTTCCTGTTATTTGGAGTCGAATAAACTCGGAATGAAAAACTGATTGTCGCTTAACACGTTCAAAGTCCTAAAAAAGCAGTAAAATCTTATAATTTACTCAAACGTGGTGTAGCAGCCTTAAAACTTTTCTAGAAAATTACTTTCTTAAAAAGAGATTTTATAGAAAAGTGTTATTAAACTTTTAATATTATTGTTAACGTTTAAATGTTTGAGAAAGGAATGTAACTAAAATTAAGAAACGAAAAAACATTTATTATATTTGAAACTAAATCAGTATACATAAAAATATATAATTTTTTGAGTCTATTTCTTTTTATCCTTTTTACAGACCAACTCAGAAGTGACAGCAAATTAATTTGAAGATATAAAAAAATCTTCTTAACACATTATATATAGATTATTAAAAAAGTAACACAAAGTTCAAAATGATCAAGATGCCGACCTTTTATTTTATGATCTGGCGCTTTCACAATAAAACAATGATTAAACAATTTTTCACAATATCTACAGCGAATAGAAAATAGAAGGATTAATTCTTTCTGCTATACTTTGGAAGCGTCAGTGATCAGTAACGGAGTCATGTTTCACATCACGTGGTTCTTCTCTTTAAAAACACTATTAAGACCCGAAATGCATTTCCTCCATCAATAAAGCCTTTATCGTGTATCAATAACTGTTCCTTGTGTGATATGTTACTGAAAAAAGACAAATAACTTTTAATTTTTTAAAATTGCAAGTTAAGATTAAAATATTACAACAGCTTATATTATAAAGACACTTACCTTAAAAGGGCCTTTTGCGTATGCAGCTAATATACAACTTTTCCGAAACTAGTAACCCGGAGGGTAAAGATTCGCAGCGGCAACTTGAAAGTGGTGCAGTCGAGAACCCATGTCCGGATATTTGGCTTTAAAAAGATATTCAGCCAAATATCCGACCATGTGTTCCTTTCGAACACCGTACCGGGGAACGTTTGCGCGCACCTCCCGCCACATCCTCTCGATCGTGTTGGTGTGGGAGCCCATCTGGGGATCAACAAAGTTATACTTGTGATTAACTGTCAGGTGATGAAAGCCTTCAGTTTGAAGGCAATCATACGCCTTCCAGCAATCACTAATAACCGTTGTCCCCGGAAGCACCCACTCCTTCAGGACCGAAAGTAGCGTTTGGCTATCGCGTGTTTCCACCGGTACCAAGAACCTTTTTCGAGACTCTCTCTCGATACCCCCGAAGATCCATTGACCTTCGCTTATTCTCCCCTTATGGTACTTCCGCCGTCCGATTTTTGCCTCATCTACCTCGACAACCCGGCCTTCCCCTCCGAGTTTCTCGGTTTGGGAGGACACATCGTGGACGCATACTTCTCTGTAAAAAGAGTACCAGTCCACGATGGTTCTCTTCGAAAGGCCGAGAAATCGATGTAGTGTGGCTTGTCTCGGAGGCTTCCATACCAATAAGGAGAAAATAAATCTCCAGAGGGTAACTAGAGAAAGATTCGAATGGCTGAAAAAAGTACCCGCCCAAATGGACTTGCTCCACCCGCAAGGTGCCGCACGTTTCTTACCCTTCCGGATTACTTTTCCGCAACGGAATAATTCTCGTCCTCCTTCTGCTCTTAGTAGGTTGCCACACCGTCCGCATTTCGTTTCCTTTCGCCAAATGCCGTGGCGTAGCAATTCTTCTTTCCCTCTCTCTTCCGAGAATGCCGTTGCCTCGAAATAATTGTACTGGCATCCCGAGCAGCACACTGTATCCATTCTCGTCAAATTAAAGTTTCAGTACAGCAATAAACGAAATTTTACGTGTGATGCCTTTTATAGACACGCTGGCGCTTACCAGCCATTCACGAAGTGAGAAATTTCCGTGCTAAAAATCTACCAATCACAGAGTTTCAGATAATTCGGACCTAAAAGATTAACCATTCCCTTAGGGCTTTCCATACATGACGTCCACATTGGAAAGGAAGGAGAGCGTTATGACAAGTCGGACAAAGGGGGGGATTGAGCATTAGTGGACATCCGTTTTATTTCATTAAATTTTATACAGTTTATGCATTTTATTATTCATAAAGTGATAAAGGTTTTGAGGAAGGTTGAGTTTTGTTGGACGTCCGAAGAGGAGAGAGGGTTACGGAATTTTAACATCTTAGAAGAATCGAATTTAAAAATAATACAGAAAAACGTAAATAAAACTTAAACTGTTTTTATTTTGTAGCTGTTCATTTTCTTCTTAAATTCTACGCTGTAATATTTTGAATATTAACATTTAAGTCTTCTCCCATTTTCGAAAATTCTACAATTTATTCTGAACGTAATATTGTTATCTTCCTCCGCCACCCTTTACTAAAAATTTGCTTTTTTATGTTAAACTAATATGAAATAGTATGACATTTGATTGCTATTAACCCTGATTAACAGTTTTAGTAAATATTACAAATTGAATATAGTGTTTGTATACTTTTAACGTAATTATTAACTAAATTTTATTAATATTTATTAAAACACACTCCAATAGTTTCCCATCTACTCAGATTCTTAATGTTTAAATTTAACAAAAACGTTGGCTTAGTAAAAATTTTGTGCTGCAGATCTACAAACGTTTTATTAGCCTATATATTTTTTAGAAAAGCATTCTTTATCTTAAAAATTCTAACCAAATGCATAGTTGCAGAACAAAATTATTGTTATCATGTTATCATGTATGCTATTGTTGTTTATAGACTTAAAAGGGCTCAGCAAGAATCCCGATCTAAAATGCATTTGGTGTAATGGTGTGTAATACTTCCTGGATCCCAGTGTGAAACTCCCCCTCCGGAAAAACCGAACTGTCCAAGCAAAAGACAAAATTGCTTTGTCTCGGCCAGACATTAGGCTTACATGACAATTGTGGTTATATATTCGAAAGATCCCTAAGATATATCAAAAATTGCTAAATTTCTTTTCTGCTACTGCCCCAATTAAACGTTTAAATTATGTATTAGTTTATTACTTTGGTTTCCGTTCTGAGATTTGGCCCAAAAAGCGGTTGCCGAAATAATACTTGCTATCCTAGAAATTAGCTCTCTTTTTACAGTAACTTTCCACAAAAGTTTTAAGGCTTCGATATCCGCTGAAATAAATTTTAATAGTTAATTGTTTTTAGGACTTATTTGAACGTGGGCTCGGATAGTTCCGTTCTAGTGTCAATTATGTGGTTTTATAAATGAAAAATTACAAGTTGTGAAAGTGCAAGTCAATATATGGATATTATATATATATACCCGTGTAATTGGTAAGTGTCATCTCGAGTTTTTTTCGTAACTACTAAAATGCTATTGGACGGCTTTTTTAATATTTTGTCTCTAAAAACGCATATTTTAAAATGCTATTGGACGGCTTTTTTAATATTTTGTCTCTAAAAACGCATATTTTAAAATTATAGATCCCCCATCATGCTACTGTCGATATTACGGACGTCGCCATCTTTTTTTTCTCTGTCCGTTGTTCGCAATGTCTACGAACGATCGCTATTAACGAACGCACTGTACTCTATCACGTGACTCAAGGTATAGTTGTCCGGAAATACGTCAGAGCTGTAGTCACGTGACCACCTGGCTCCGTCGTCACCGCTCACGTGACTGGATGACGTTAACCGAGGTCACGTGACACGAATTGTAAGCGTCCGCCGTCCAACGTGCTACTCCGCGATGTGAACAAGGTTAAGCAATGGCGGCCTCCACCGTGCACAGTCGGTAAGTAATCCGATGCGTTTTCGCTTATAGCTCTTAATATACGCGTCTCCCCCAAATAATTCTAATTGTTTAGGACACGTCTATTAGAGAGGTGTCTAAAGAGAGCAAAATTAGAAAAAACGGGCCCATGAAGTAAATACCGACAATTACCCGCGTCTCTTCTATTGAACTTCTATGAGAATAGTCTGCTTTCTAAGGACCAAAATGGCAAATGAGCATACCTGGGTTATCTAGTGCCTTACTATTAGCCCAGAAGTAAACTCACCCGGGAACACGTCAGAGATGAGTAGTCACGTGACCGAATAGCACCGACCAAATGTCACGTGACACGCTTCGTACGCGTCCGCCGTCCGATGTGACGCTCCGCGACGAAAACAAGCTTAAGCAACGCTATCTTCGGACGGGTACCTCGATAAGTATTACGACAAAGCCGTACCCCCTTAACAGCACAAGTGCCCAAAATTCATTAGTGTTACATCTACAGACTAACCTCGTCCATCTTCAGCTTTACGAACATCCAAAGAATCCAACTCCTTTTGCATTATTCTCCTTGCATAATAAGTAGTTAAATAAAAGTAAACATCTTCTACAGCTTAAAGCCACCGAGTTAACTTCATTTCAATTACGCCGAACGACCTTTCCATTCCATCCAATTTCCATCAATTTCGAATCGCCACGACGTTCTTTTCCAACCGTCGTCTTCTAACTTTTCTGTTCGATCCCGGGCGACGCCCCGAAAATGTGCAATCAAAATAATAAAAGAAAAGAAAGATAAAGAAAAGTGTTCGAAACGACTTTCGAACACTTTTCTTCTTCCCCGTTCCTTTTTCCCGCTCTTGTCTGCCCATGCGCCCTCCAGCGGATGTTGACATTTTTAAAAAACCTCGTCCTCATATGCGTCACTCGTGAAGCGGGAGACGAGATTTTTTAGGGAACATTTCTTAATGGACACAAAAATTTTCTAATTAAACCATAATTTGTTTTTTCATTTCAAACACGTTTGTATATCTGCATACATGAAATTTCAGTTTAATTGATTTCTTCGAACTTATAAAACGACGGTATTTGCAACATTAAATATATTTTAATACTATGATTTTTCTCTACTTTATAGAGCTATCTGGCAACTACTAATATTATTACGATATAAAAAACTGTATTTCTAGATTTTTCTACACTTTTGCAGAGCTAGAAATATGTAAAGGTAACATTTTGTAACAAAAATAAATCTGCCCAAGGATTTTTGTAAATATTACTAAATTGAAAACGGTAACTCCCAAATAAAATCTTAGTCTCGAGGTTGTAAAAGACATGCAGAAATTCTGACATCATTTTTTGCTTTATAGTGGTACACATATGTGGTGTATACCTGAACGACGGATTAAATGGTAAGCAAACTATGCAGGCGCGTAGGGCCCCAAAGGGGCTACCGCAGTCTTTAAAATGCTACTGTAAAAAGGTATTGCNACTTTTGATATATTTTAATTTATTTTTTGAGAAATTTAAATTTATGTTTATACTTTTCAAATTTATAGATTTTTCTCTACTTTATAGAGCTCTCTGGCAACTACTAATATTATTACGATATACAAAACTGTATTTCTAGATTTTTCTACACTGTGCGGAGCTACAAATCTGTAAAGGTAACATTTTGTAACAAAAATAAATCTGTCCCAGGATATTTTTTAAATTACTAAATTGAAAACGGTAACTCCCGAATATAACCTTAGTCTCGAGGTTGTAAAAGGCGTGCAGAAATTCTGACATCATTTATTGCTTTATAGTGAAAAGCATATATGGTGTGTACCTGAACGACGGATTAAGCGGTAAGCGAACTATGCGGGCGCGTAGGGCTTCGAAAAGGCTCCCGCAGTCTTTAATATGCTATTGAAAAAAGGGATTGCGAAAAAGCAGAAGATAGAAATAGTCCAGAAAAATGCTTCGATATATATAGATACATGGAAGTAATAAATGATACAGCTTTATGGCCAACAATATTACCAGATGCTATTGTTTATCATATTCTTAAAACAAACCAGAAAGTATAGAAAAGGGATTTATAATAAACAAAAAAAAAAAAAAGAAGTTAAGATAACGGAAATAGATAAAACACCAAATGAAGGAAGTAACTTGACACTCGAAAAATCATTTAAAATACAAATTTACAGTGTTCTCGACACTCTATTGTGTCAAATAGATTGGCGTTACGAAAAAATGAAAACTATCTGTGACGATTTTTGCTTTCTCTGTGGCTCTCTTTACAATACACGAGTGTTGCTGATTTTAAAAAATCGGCTGCGAATCTCGCTATTAAATATAGCAAAGATTTAAAACAGTAAGAATTCACAAGTGAAATTGAAAGTTTTAATTTTGTAGTAACGACTCTTATACAAAATATCAGTGGCAGTATTTGATGATAGGGAAGCTGTGTTTCTGTAAGAAGACGACATCCAGTGCCAATCAGTCAATTGCGCGTCAGTGATGATCTAGGGTCCATTCGTAACGTTTATTCGATAAGCCAGTAAAAACCGTAGACTTCTCTAAATGTATTCTTAATTTAATATCACAATTACATTCCGAATTGCTAGCCACGATATAAGGGCTACAATTAAAAATAAAATAATAAAAACTTACTTGGTGAAATAAAATGTGTGATGGATGTACAGTACATATCTGGTACAAAATATTCTTCAATTGTACGAAAATACTTTTAAAGATAATTATAATTAAATATAGTTTTGTGAAGAAACGTACATAAAAATAACATAAAATAGTCTTTACTTTTTAAATATTAACACCTTATTCTTGCCGAGAAATATAAATTTATTCCAAACAAACGTTTTTAACCTGATTTACAGGCCACCGTCAGGTTTATAACCAAATTCGAATTAAAGGATTCCATCAATGGAATACAAAATTCAAAATTCAAAATTAACTAAGCAACGGAATAAGATAAAAATAAAATTAAAATATTAAATATCCAACGGGATAACATAAAACAAAAATATAAAAATGTAAAAAATGTACATAGAAGTATTAATACAATTATTATGACTGGTTAGAGCTCTTATTAAACTTCTTAACTATAAACTTCCATGCAGAGGGAAGACTTTCTGCATCCCTCGCATTTAAACAGCCTTCCTGTATTTTACTCCTATAAATCTGCAACTTTTCTGCTGTCAACGCCAAAGATGGAGAAGATAAAGGTTTTATGATGGCTGCCTCATTCCATTTGACTACAGATCCTGGTGTTTGCGCCATTTGGGACAAAATCGTTGCATTAGATTCCTTTTTGATATTATAACTTATAATATCAAAAGTGAATTACGAGTACAATAGCAATCTTGTCTGTTTTTTCACGTGTAGTGTAGAAATTTCTAATAAGATAAATAGTGCGGTTATAATAAAATATTGTGCGATTATTTTCATATAATTAAAATTAATATGTATTTATTTTTTTTGAAAATACAAGGGAAACGGCGCATCTACCGCTTCCAATGACGGCACGCCACTGCAAAATATAGGAGCTGCATCTCCGCCTAATAATCTACAGGCTCTTCATGATTCTGGTTTAATTAATTGAGTCTTACCCAAATATCAATGTCGCTCTTCGAATATTTCTAACTCTTCCCGTTTCTATTGCTTCGTGCGAGAGAAGTTTTAGCAACTTAAACTTAATAAAAAGTTATTTAAGCTGAACTATCGGACAAGAACGATTATCCAATATTTCTATTATTTCAATAGAATACAATATCGTTAAAAATATTAATTATGGTGGTGTAATTAATGAATNGATGAACACCGAGAGAATCATCTGAATCGTGTATGGCGGTATGTGTGCGGCATCTGCGGACAGCAATTTACTCGGGAAGCTGATTCAGTACGTCACAGACGAGTGCACTACGGTAAAAAGTAATTCTAGTGCAATTACAAAGATTGCACTTACTCCAGTAAATGGAAATTCAGCTTGATTAGGCACGTGAGTAAAAAACATCAACAAACAATCTCTTCTGAAGTAAATTTTACAATTTTTAATAATATTTTTATTTTTTAATAGGTAAATCGATAAAAATTATTAAACGAAAACATACAACGTGATTACACGATTGGTTACAAGGAAAACTTAATTAAATTATGAAAATTAACGTATAAAGTTGTAGTCATTTCTCAATAATTAAACAAAATTTTCCTACTACATCTCTGTTTAATTTCAAAATGTCAACTACATTGATTGTATTCGGTTAGATATGAAATGCAACAAGATTCTTCTCAGCCAAATCGTGGCAAATAATGACACGACATCGACACAAACCGGAAAGATTACACACAAATCTCTCGTGAAATAAATCATATTTTAAGAACATTTGATGAAGATTCACAACCAAAATACCATTAAGGAAATGTGTGTGTGACTATTATACATATAATAATATATAATAAATTAATAAATAACAGAA